ATAGATGGTAGTGAGAGAGGAAAAAGGGAGATAGAGAAGAGTGGAAAAGAACGATGGAAAGAGAGTGAAGTGAGAGAAAAGAAAAGAGAGAGGGAAAGCCGAAAAAATAGAAAGGAAGATGAAAAGAGAAAGAGTTGAGGAAATCAAATCAAAAGGATAGACTCTTAAACTCTTACTCAGCTCTCTTTTTATGTCTCTCTCTCTCTCACTTTCCCTCCCTCCCTCTATGTCTCCCTCTCTCTCTCTGTTTCTTGGTGTTGTTTGTATGGTGTAGTACATTAGTGCTGTAATTAGTGAATGGACAGAAAGAGCCAAACTGAGTAACACACACACACAAACACACACACACATACACACACACACACTGCACTCATATGTGCTCAGTGTGGAGTGGGACAGTCTTGACTATCTCACTTATTTGGTGAATAAAAGTGTGTGTGTTCCCGTGAGGACTCTCTGCTTCTTCTATTTTCGAGCCTAAGTGCTCACTTTCCATCTATTATTCAGCCCTTTTCACTCCACTGTTTTCATATCTCGGCCCTTCGTCCATCTCTCTCTCTCTCTTTCTCTCTTTCTCTCTCTCTCTCTCTCTCTCTCTCTGACCTTTCTGACCTCTACAAGCTTTTTAAAAATCCCTGCACTTTTATATCAGCTACCATCAGTCTCTTTTCAAGCGTTCCCTGAAAAACCTCTTCCAAGTGGTAGTTCAGACAAAGTTTACACAGTCAGTGATGTTACCCAATCAGCAGTGACGTGTATATAAACCATGCCATATTAAAAAGGCAGTGTGCACAATGGATTCTAATAAAGTCCTCAACAAATGCAGGAGTGACATTTTGCTCTCCAAATCTTGTCCCGCCCATTTGAAATCAAAACATGAACGGCTTCGCTGCCAGTTCCCAATTATGTTAGTGGTTAATCTGACATGTTAGGCCTTCATTTGAAGCAAGTCCTAACCAATGGGAGAGCTCACTTGGCTGTATCCAACTAGATACCACAGGGAACTCCTGATTGTATAAAATTCAAAGAGTACTAAGTCCTAAAAGGCCCTGAAGGTTCCCCAATGGTAAAAACAGTCAAAAGTACATTGCATAGCTAAGAACAGTAGAGGCAGCTTCCTTGGAGAATCCCCTTTTCCATACTTTGGGCAAGGATTTGAGGTAAATGTGTGATGATATATAATTGGTGTTATCCTCATAACAGCAGGGCAAGACAGAAGCAAACTACCATAGCTGTTTGTTACCTTGACTACATTTGAGGTAATAAGGGGAAGCTAATGTAAATTAGATTTTAGGCTGAATCATCGCTTTAAAGTTTCACAGCTTTGAAATATTTGCTGAATGCACACAAAGCTCAATGAGACGGACAGTGTGGAGGTTTCTGCTAATGATGTCGGCGTCTGTGTAAGGGCAGTGGGTGCTCCTCTGTCTCCTCGTGAGGAGTTTTAGGCAGCATGGGATGGCAGCATCCGTAATTAATCTTGCCTTGGGAATTAGGCGGTTGTCAGTGCATGTCGGCCACAGATGCATTTTAAAAAGGGCAGATTTAATGGTGTCTTGTTTGAGCTGGACAGCAGGAAAAAGGCTCTCCGCTACGGGACTTAATCAGAAAACTGACCTACCAGCATTCCTCCACAGGGTGCAGAGATATCAGATTCACAACAAAAATCTTACAAAGGATCTTAAGAGAAACACTGAGAAGATCATGAGAATGATTTTAAATGAACAAAAGTGAAAGTTAAAGGACAGAGTATAAGTTACCCTGGTTAACCTAGCTAAAGGAGATTTTGTCTCCTGTTTTGTTGTTGTTTGGGCCAAGCGTTGACGCCATCATTGAGACATTGTGAGCAGCTATCCATGGCTATGATGGCCAACACTCTCTCCATCATCGTTCTAGCCAACATGCTAACATGCTTTGCTGACATAACAGAATTGGCAGTTAGTGTTCTCCTCAAAGCATGGTGAGCTGTCTGATGATGTTGCATTAGCAGCAGTTTAAAAGGTTTCAGAGGAAGCTCATGCTGGTCTTCACGTTCCCAGCTTGGTGGCATCATCACACATATTAAAAGTATTATTTTGACTATTGAGTATTACCTATATACAATACTGTAGAGATTTAGGCACCTGAAAAAAATTGTTTTTAGAAAACTATTTAATTGGTCAGTAAGCGTTTATTTACTCAGAAAAACACTAATATTACAATAAATAAATAAAAATGCAAAAATAAGCTATTTTATGTATGTCAATGTATCAGTTTGACCATTTCCAAACTTCTCCTTGAGGAAGACCAGTGTTTGTACAGTGCAGTCAGTGTTAAAAAGTTTAAGAATTGGAAAAAAAAGAAATTGGAAACAAAGAAAAAAGTTATGACAATAAAGAAATATCTTAAATTCTACACTTTTTTTTTTTTAATTTTTACCCGATTTTTCTCCCCAATTTAGTCGTCTCCAATTCCACCCGCTAGTTAGGACTCCCCCAATCACACGGTACTACCAACGATAGGAGGGTGACGGCTAACACAAGCTTCCTCCGAGACCTGTGAAGCCAACCACCGCTTCTTTTCGAACTGCTGCTCACTGGACAGCCGAACGCGCTCGGAGGAAAGCGTCAACCGCCAGACCTGTTACGTCAGCTAACAGACGCCTGCGCTGACTAGCATCGCGCTGAGTGATGGGGGGAGAAGGAGGGGCCATCCTACCCACCCAGAGAGAGCGAGGCCAGTTGTGCTCTCCTGGACTCCCGGCTACGGATGGCTGTAGCATCACCAGGGATCGAACTTGCGATCTCCTGATGATAGGGCCAACGCTTAGACGGTTGCGCCACTCGGGAGCCCCTACACTTTTTTTATAACCTTCTTCCTAAAATAGTTGGGACACTGTGCAAAATGTAAATCAAAACAGAATTCATTAATTAAACCCTATATTTTATCGAAAGTAATACAAAGATACATGTTTAAACATATAATGTTTAAACTGAGAAAGTTTATTGTTTTTTGAAAAATATATGCCTATTTAAAATTTGATATCAGCAACACATTTCAAAAAAGTTGGGACGGTGCAACAAAAGACCGAAGTTGTGTAATCCTAAAAAAACACCTGATGAAACATTTCACAACTAATCGGGTGAATTGGCAGGTCAGTATCATGATTGAGTATAAAAGACCATTCCAGAAAGGCTGAATCTTTCAAGAGTAAAGATGAAAAACTGTGCGTACAACAATTCAAGAATAAGAATTCTTTAAAATAGCACAGAATTTGGGGATTTAAACATCTACAGAACATGATGGCTCCAGGAACACTTCTGAAAACCATTGTCTGTGAACACAGTTTATCACTGCATCCACAAATGCAAGTTAAAACTCTACCATGCAAAGAAAAATCCATATATAAACAGGATCCAGAAACACCACCGCCTTCTCTGAGCCCGAGCTCATTTAAGATGGACTGAGATGAAGTGGAAATTTGTCCTGTGGCTCAATTAATCAGAATTTGAAACTCTTCTTGGGAATCATGGATGCCGCATCCTCCAGGCTAAAGGGGAGAGGGACCATCCGGCTTGTTGTCAGCGCACAATTTAAAAGTCATCTGTGATGGTATGGGGGTGCATTAATGCACATGGCATGGGTGACTTGCACATCTGTGAAGGCACCAAATAATGCTGAATGATATATTCAGGTTTTGGAGCAACATATGCTGCCATCCAGACAACGTCTTTTTTTAGGGAAGGCCAAACCACATTCAGTATGCATTACAACAGCATGGCTCTGTAGTAAAAGGGTCCAGGTGCTAAACTGGCTAGACCTGTCACCCAGTGAAAACATTTGGTGCATTGTGAAATTAAAAATACAACAAAGGAGACCCTGAACTGTTGACCAGCTAAAATCCTATATAATAGGAAAATATTTTGCTTCGAAAATTACAGCAGTCAGTCTAAGTTCCCAAATGCTTACAGAGTGTTGTTAAAAGTAGATGTAATGCAACACAGTGGTAAACATGCGCCCGTCCCTTTCAAACTTTTTTGAAATATGTTGCTGACATCATATTCAAAATGGGCAAGTATTTTTCAAAAAACAAAACAATTTCTCAGTTTCAACATCTATTATGTTCTCTTTGTACTATTTTCAGTTAAATACTGAGTTTAAATGCTTTGCACATCATTGCAGTCTGTTTTATGTACATTTTGCACAGTGTTTCAACTTTTTTTGAAAACAAGGTTTAAGCTCACTATTCAGACTGAAGCAAATTTGTGAAATCGACCGTGTGAAGGCCTTTATTCAAAACGGTCCGATTTTTCTTTCCACTGAAACACGTGTTCAGATAACTCTCAGGTAGATCTGATGTACTGATCAGAAGCTTTGGCACAAATTTATGTCCATGCCAGTTTCACGCTGTCATTAAAGGGGTTCATTCAAAGTTTATGAACGCAAATACCAAGAGATTCTGCAAAATTGAAGGATTTTATGTTGACACCATCACCAAAAGAAATTCCTTGTACATCTGGTCAATGGCAAGTAAAGATTCTGGTTTTTCAGCAGTGGTCTCAGATTTTTGGGCCCCACTGTAGTTAAAATCCAAGAGCTGATTTGGCTAAACAGTTCTTTATTATGATAAATCAAGTGTGCTGCTGATGGAATGTAACATCTGACTTCTGCAAAGTACTGTATATTTAAAACTGCAGATTATATTCAGAACTAGTGCTAATGCTACTATGTTTTTGCACGTACCCACTTTCTCTCAGAGTGCGCCATTCTTGTAGGTATCTGGCAGCCAAAGCCGCATTATTCTCCTAACAATATTTTCAGTTCCTCTGTTTCAGAGAGCTCATCAAAGGCAGGGATTTCTTCTTTGAATTTAACAATGTAGTTGTCGGGAATATCCCTGAGTCTCTGACAATAAAGGACAAAGAAGCAAATAATCTCTCTCTCTCTCTCTCTCTCTCTCTCTCTCTCTCTCTCTCTCTCTCTCTCTCTCTCTCTCTCTCTCTCTCTCTCTCTCTCTGCAGAATGACACATGGAGTGAGCTGTACTCGTTTGCTGTGTTTAAGGCGATGAGTCACATGTTGTGTATAGGCTATGGGCGGCAGGCTCCGGAGAGCCTGTCCGATATTTGGCTGACCATGCTCAGCATGATCGTGGGAGCCACCTGCTACGCTGTCTTCATCGGCCACGCCACCGCCCTCATCCAATCACTGGACTCCTCTCGCCGCCAATACCAGGAGAAGGTAGAAGAATCGTCCAATCACATGTTAGAATGATCCATGTGTTTGAAATGAGGTGAAATGGCTGTCCAGTCACTTGGTAGCTTGGCAAAAAAACAAAAAACAATCTTATGTCACCTCAGTCCAAATGTAGATGATCAGCCAAGACATGTTTGATGTGCAAAATTTGCTTATTTAGTTTTGCACTGGAACTACGATGTGGCTAACAAGTATTGGAAGATCATAGCCATGAATTAGCATCATGCAAACTAGGTGCCTACATTCAGATCTCACATGACAGCTACTACTGTTTTTAACTGTGGAATGTACTTTTGTCCAAATTAAATATAAAGTAGTGGATTAATGCAGTTTGTACAGTATTAACTGGTTGCTATAAGCTTCCATTACTTGTAAGCTACATTAGCCTCATAGCTCTAAAACTAAAGAACCAAATTTTAGACACCAAACAATACTTGGCTGCTTGATTACATTTGCTCAAGTAAGATTTTTGGTCAAATCATTGCTTTAAAATATCCAGCCTTGTGTCAAAATGATCTATGGCCATGATGGACCAACGAGGTCTGCCCAGACACATTCCAGGATGTGAATCTGTAGATGCAAACCAAAAGCAACGAACCTATCCTACCATCTGTTAGAATCATTTGTGGCAATGGAAACATGAAGGAGCCGCCCAGTCGGGTTCTTCTCAGTGCTGCTTCAGAAGCCAACAGCCAATGATGCTTTAGAATGATACATAGAGCTTTTCAGCTACACAAGACAAAGATGTATTGGCTGCAGGAGCACAATGTAACTCCAGTAACAGCAGGAATTGCTTTCTTATTGTTTGTGAGAAAGGTTCACTGGCCCTGAGAGTCCATTTAAAGCCCTACAAAAGCCTTCTCCAAAGGCCTTGACATGGTTTTATTTGCCATAGTCTGTTACATAACTTGCCCTGCGATGGACTGGCGACCTGTCCAGGATGTTTCCTGCCTTCTGCCCAATAAGCGCTGGGATAGGCTCCAGCACCCCCCCCCACGACCCAGAAGGATAAGCAGTTTAGAAAATGTGTTTGTGTGTGTGTGTGTGTGTGTGTGTCTGTGTGTGTGTGTGTGTTATGTAACTTTTACCAGTGATTTCTATGAGTCCCAAAACATAGATAATTCTTGAATTAATGGTAAGTTAGAAATGTGTGTGTAGAGTGCAAATCAACCATGTAGTGCTCTCTAGCTCCATTTGACTGTAATGTTCTCCAGTGTTTTTGAAATTTGCTAACAAAACACTATAATAATAGAAATTGTGACTAAATTCTTTGGTAATAACTTCAAATTGGTGTAGTTAAAAGGGGTATTCCCTTTTGAAGCCAAATCCCATTGATTTGGCTGCAAAATATTCTACATAATTCTGTCATTAAGATGTAAACAAAGTTATTCAGAGCAGTTTGATGTGAAATGTTCTGTCCCAGAGAAACTGACCGAGTCTCTAAAACAGTGGTCAGCAACCCTACATCTGGGGATCTACTTTCCTGCAGAATTTAGATCCAACCTGCCATTCCAACCTTTTTGGAATTGTGTACATAAAATGACTCTCTGTATAGTCATCACGACCCCTGGTTCTTATCACCACCGCTGTAAAGAAATCTGAGTCTGTAAGTTTCTCTACAGTGAGCCATTTCATATCAAACCACTTAGAATGACTTTATTCACATCTCAACCATTGAATCATGCTGAATTTTTTCAAAAATCTGTGGAATTCTCCTTCATTGTGAGGTGCTAACCAGAAGCCAATTTAGTGCATATGCAAACTTTTTTATTTGCATAAATATTGCACCAGAATCTCACAATATGACCTCTGCTACAACGCAATTCTAAAAAGCAACCAACAGGAATACAGAATGTCAACTACAACTGAATAGTCCTGATAGATGACCCAAGCAGAATGTGGTCATTTTCTTGCTTCATATGCCCACTCTCCCACGTTTTTCATATACAGTTGTATGCAAAACATACAACTGGCAAGAGACTATAGTACACTACAGGAGGTGTAGGGGCGATATGGCTTGTGTCCTTTTTTTGCACCATAAATATGAGTTTTTGCACTGAGAGAACTTGCACAAAGGCCGAACTGTGATGAGGGATAAGTGAGAATAAACCACAGACACAATAATAGTTTGATTTGTCTATTAATCAAAACAACCATTAGTTGCAGCCCCAGTCTTCCACCACAGAATTTGACCAAGATTTAATTGGCATCATCTCATACAGCATGACACACCACTTATTAGACCACTGTTATCTCAGAATTTACATCAGGCTTTACCCAATAAAAACAGGACTAAAAACAGAGCACATAAAACAAAACCCTCCAGAGATTACTCTTGCTTTCAAATAACATAGCTGTTTCATCACCACACTATCAGACTGTCTGGAACTTGGTACATTCATTACGCTTTATTTCCTCCCTCATATCAGTAGAGCTTCATTTTCAGTCAATTAATTCAATGTCAGTTTTCCATTTAAGCTCATGCAGCACTGTAGCTGGTGGGTGAATTGAGGACAATGCGCAGGAGCTGATTGTTGTTGCTGTGGTCGGGGAATAGCAGTCCTTGAGAGGACACTGGAGACATCTCAGCCCTTTTTTAACACTGCACAGGCTAGCGTGCAAGTCCCATAAGACTAATGTGGCTCTCTCTCTCTGTTACTCCATGGAACATTAATAGACTTGAGACTGACACATCAATCTGTCCAGTTACTGCAGTGGCAAAGATTAAACTAAGTATAATATCAAGACATACTCAATCATATCTGCCACAAAATGGTACAGTTTGCTGCAGCTTGCAGTAATAGCTCCACTTCAGAGGGCAGTAAACATTCTTAACGAGAAAGAAATCAAATTTATGCAGTTTTTCTCTAACCCTGAACATTGTCAAGACATGTTTGATGTCTGAAGTTAGCTACGAGGCTAATGCAGCTAACAAGTAATGGAAGCCTAAACATTTAGCATTGTGCAAACTGCACACACTTGCCTCAAACTGTGTCTAGTTGTCTAACTAACTTGAATATACTTGATTATGTTGTTTTTGACACTGTGTGGTATACATTATCATTAAAATGCTCAAAGTATGGACAAACTTAAGGCTTTAACATGACTGTTATAACTGTTTTAAGCAATGCTACATTCTTTTACATTATTTGCTAGCTGCATTAGCCTCCAGTGAAAATGAAGATATCAAACATATCTTGGCTGATTGACTATATTTGAGGTAGGAAAGAAAAATCTAAAAAGAGATGTCCTAAATATCTCAGCAGTTTCTCCACGACAACAGTGACATCAGATGGAAAGACAAAGGAGACTTCTGCTTACATCTCTTGCTGCTCAGATATTTCTCCTGAGTAAAGTAATCTCATATGTTTCACCTCTTGAGTTTTAGTAAAGATCTCAATGAAGTCACACGTTGTCAAGGCTGCCAAGTCTCAAGCGTTGGCCATGAGACTCATGCAGTTTGGCCGAATCTCACACTTGCATGCTACACTCAAATTTTTACAAAACAACCTACTGATAAATCTGAAAGCTTGTGAAGTTTCTTAATGCTGCTTAGCTTTTACTGATTAAAAACACTCTGGACGGTTTACTTGAATACAAGAGAAAAAGACCATGCTAGCTAGTCAGTCACTGCCGGTCCATGTGTGCTGTAGATCAGTGGGGAAAGACCTGTTTCCATAGCAACAGGGAACCAACGAGGGCAAGGCGATGTGTGAACTCAATGCAGTGCCCTTGTGTGTCAGAGAATAGAGAATACCTTCACTAAACATCACTGTGTAGCTGTTAGCTTTTAAATTCATACCAATCAAGAGCAGCCAGGTAAAGAATCTGACAATGCTACACGCAGTAGCGGCAGCAGGACTGCCATTTTGGGTGGGCATAACAAGTTTGAGTGTGGGCTGAACCAAAGTCCTTACAGGAATGTCTGTTCACTCAGCATCTTTGCAACGCCACGGGGCAGTTATTTCCAAGACCAGACTCCTATCTGTTTGAATGAGGAGAGACCAAAATATTTGAAACTGAAATTACCGTTTCAAAAACATATTTGAAATAACTGATAAAATCTGACAAAAAAATGATAGTTTTTAGCGTTTAGCTCAGCAATGCACAAAAAAGATTCAGATTGTTCTGGCTACTGTGCTTGGACTTTCTCTTTAAACAGACGCCATGTTGAGTATTACAAGCTTTTCTTTTTAATAAGGTCTCTGGCCGAACCTTGCTCTCGCAGACAAACCTTCACTGTCTCTCGCACACAAATTCATTCTCTCTCGTGCGTAGAACCTCAATATCTTTTGCATATTAAATGTTAATTCCCCTTTGCATTTGCTTGTATGTCTTTTGTCATGTTAAGCACCTTATAGATATAGAATATAACGATGTATTAACCGAGCATTTGCTAAGCATCATTCAAACTCTGCAGTAGGATATAAACTGCAGTAGGAGACACCGGCTCACTATTCTACCAAAACGCTTATAATAGAAAAACATAAAAATGTGTATCCCTTGCTTTGCACACAGGAGCCATAACAACCAACGTAACTTTATACTGTGCTTGTGATATGCTTGTGATTTCTTGTATATTTTCCACCCAACCCAATACAGTCCGACCCATGGCCACCACCCCCCAACCCCCAAAGCCTCCAACTATCCTTCCTCCACCCCAGCCCGCTAAAAAACCTCATTCTAACAAAAATATAAAGGTTTGCAGCCCTGTAATTTGCACTGATTTCCCAAGATAATAATCTGCAACTAAACTCTCATCTCTCCTATATCTTATAGATCCTTTTTGTCTTATATAATGTAATAAGAGAATGACCATTCCATCTCCTGAGCCATCAAAGAGCAATAAAATTTTCGTATGAGGAGGAAAACTGTGTAATTGTCATGTTTAGCCAAACTACTGCAGTCATGGTTGTTAGATTTGGCTAATACCTTTACAGTTTCTGCTGCTTCACTCTTTTCCAGAAATTGTCCTGACACAACAT